CAAAATACCCCCATTTAAAAGTAGGGGCGCCATTGGTACACTAAGAGAAAACACCATAAGTGTCCAGGGCCCAAGACTGTTCAACAGCTTCCCGCCAAGCATAAGGGGAATTACCAATAGGCCCCTGGCTGCCTTCAAGAGGGAGCTGGACAGATACCTAAAGTCGGTGCCGGATCACCCGGGCTGTGGTTCGTACGTTGGACTACGTGCGGCTAGCATTAATAGCCTGGTTGATCAAGCCCTAATCCACCAGGAAAACTGGTCGTGGACCAAGCCGCGGGGGCGTTGATCCCCGGAATACCCTCCAGGTAGACTCCAGGTAGACCAAAGCCGTTAAAGAATTATCTGCAGAGCGGAAAAATGGAGCTGGCTGAGAGTAAGCCGATAATAGGTGTCCCTGCGTGTGTGGGTGTGTGTGTGCGTGTGTGGGTGTGTGTGTGTGTGTGTGGGTGTGTGTGTGTGGGTGTGTGTGTGTGGGTGTGTGTGAGGGTGTGTGTGTGGGTGTGTGTGAGGGGTGTGTGTGTGTGGGTGTTGGTGTGTGGGTGTGTGTGTGTGGGTGTGCGTCCTTGTGTGTATGCATATATTTGTACGCTCGTGTGCACATGTCCGTGCGTGCGCCCTCGTGTGTGTATGTGCGCGCGCGCACTAGTGTGGGTGTATGATCCACTTAATATTTGTATTTATAACTCATTACAATTGTGACCAGGTGTGACGTATCAGTGGTTCATTACTTTGTAATTTGTTCATGACTGTAACCATGTATAGGAGTGAAGCTGATTCATTACCTCTGTAACTTGCCATGATTGTGACCAGATCTACCTGGAGTTCATTACCTTTGTAACTAGTTCAGCTGTCATAACTTTGGGGTCCAGTCACTGGACCCATTATGTACCTTTGTAATCTTTTGACTACCGCCCACAGGATGGGTATGGGGTGCATAAAGATATTAAACTAAAGTGTGTGTGTGTGTGTGTGTGTGTGTGTGTGTGTGTGTGTGTGTGTGTGTGTGTGTGTGTGTGTGTGTGTGTGGGTGTGTGTGTGTGTGGTGTGTGTGACTCAACAATCAATATTTGCACCAATAACTCATTACAGTTTGACCGGGTGTGGAAGTGTGAATTGCTCATTACTCTATAATTTGTTCATGATTGTAGCCAAAGTATAAACGTAAGTAACCATTCTACAGAATTCATTACCTTTGTAACTTGTGAGCTCATTACCTTTGTACCTAGTTCAGCTATCAAAACTTTGGGGGCCCAGTCCCTGGACCCATTACGTACCTCTGTAATCTGTAAATACCTTTGTAACTTGTCATGATTGTGACCAGACTTACCTGGAGTTCATTACCTTTGTAAATTGTGAGTTCATTACCTTTGTAAATTGTGAGTTCATTACCTTTGTAAATTGTGAGTTCATTGCCTCTGTAACTTGCTCAGCTATCAAAACTTTGGAGTCCAGTCCCTGGACCAATTATGTACCTCTGTAATCTCGCCCACAGGATGGGTATGGGGTGCATAATAAACATATTAAACTAACTAACTCCTGTAATGTGCCCGGTGAGGAAAATAGATGAGGACAAGCGTCCCAGAGAGATTGGAGAAAATTTGTCACAGATACTCAGGCAAGAACGAGACGTCTCTGGATGGCGGGGCTCGGTACGTGTGCTGTCAGTGGCCCTATAAACCTCAACAACAACAACAACAACAACAGCAACGCGATGTCCACTCCCAACGTTTAGTTAGTTTAATATGTTTATTATGCACCCCATACCCATCCTGTGGGCGGTAGTCAAAAGATTACAGAGGTACATAATTGGTCCAGGGACTGGACTCCAAAGTTTTGATAGCTGAGCAAGTTACAGAGGTAATGAACTCACAATTTACAAAGGTAATGAACACACAATTTACAAAGGTAATGAACTCACAATTTACAAAGGTAATGAACTCCAGGTAAGTCTGGTCACAATCATGACAAGTTACAAAGGTATTTACAGATTACAGAGGTACGTAATGGGTCCAGGGACTGGGCCCCCAAAGTTTTGATAGCTGAACTAGGTACAAAGGTAATGAGCTCACAAGTTACAAAGGTAATGAATTCTGTAGAATGGTTACTTACGTTTATACTTTGGCTACAATCATGAACAAATTATAGAGTAATGAGCAATTCACACTTCCACACCCGGTCACAACTGTAATGAGTTATTGGTGCAAATATTGATTGTTGAGTCACACACACCACACACACACACACACACACACACACACACACACACACACACACACACACACACACACACACACACACACACACACACACACACACACACACACACACACACACACACTTTAGTTTAATATCTTTATGCACCCCATACCCATCCTGTGGGCGGTAGTCAAAAGATTACAAAGGTACATAATGGGTCCAGTGACTGGACCCCAAAGTTATGATAGCTGAACTAGTTACAAAGGTAATGAACTCCAGGTAGATCTGGTCACTAATCATGGCAAGTTACAGAGGTAATGAATCAGCTTCACTCCTATACATGGTTACAGTCAACGAAGGCTGGCCTTAATGATTGTTGTTGTTGTTATGTTGTTGTACCTGGAGTTCATTACCTTTGTAACTTGCTCAGCTATCAAAACTTTGGGGCCCAGTCCCTGGACCCATTATATACCTCTGTAATATTTTGACTACCGCCCACAGGATGGGTTTGGGGTGCATAATAAACATATTAAACTAACTAGCTGTTGTTAAGGGGAATTTTTAAGGGCCCAGCACAGCTGCCACCGTACTGACTCCTGCTTCCCGGGAGGCCGGGGAATATAAGTTGTCCAAATCCTTAAGTAAGTTTATTGAGGTACAGGTACACATAAGTACAATTATCATACCTAGGACAACCCAAAGAAGTCAGACATAGTAACTTATTTCCACTGGGGTCATTCGGGAACTTTAGAGGAAATAAGTAAGGAAGTAAGCTTATTTAGGTATAATTACATATAAGTACAGTTACACGAGTTTTATGTGATTACAATCATCATACATAGTAATATATGTGTAATTTACCTAGGATAACACCCAAAAAAAGTCACAGTGACTTATTTCCATCTTATTATTAGCAATCTAGATATTATATACAGTAGAAATAAGTCATGATTATATCCATAAAAAATAAAATAACTAGGTAACTTAAGTGTATCACAATAAGTTACAATAAAACAATGTCAAACGGAGCCGCTAACTCAGACTCCAGCCGAGTCAAACACTTGCACACCACCTGAGAAAGTTAGCAGCATTGTCCAAAACGTAGAAATCAGTAGAACGGAAATGAAAGCAGATGTACAATGCCCCGAGCGATTGCTCATTGGGGTGTGTGTGAAGGCAACTGTCCCGAGAAGAAAGTTATAGTTTAATACCTGGAGTTTACCTGGAGAGAGTTCCGGGGGTCAACGCCCCCGCGGCCCGGTCTGTGACCAGGCCTCCTGGTAGATCAGAGCCTGATCAACCACGCTGTTACTGCTGGCTGCGCGCAATCCAACGTACGAGCCACAGCCCGGCTGGTCAGGTACCGACTTTAGGTGCTATGTTTATTATGCATCCCATACCCATCTTGTGGGCGGTAGTCAAAAGATTACAGAGGTACATAATTGGTCCAGGGACTGGACTCCAAAGTTTTGATAGCTGAGCAAGTTACAGAGGTAATGAACTCACAATTACAAAGGTAATGAACTCACAATTTACAAAGGTAATGAACTCCAGGTAGGTCTGGTCACAATCATGACAAGTTACAAAGGTATTTACAGATTATAGAGGTACGTAATGGGTCCAGGGACTGGGCCCCCAAAGTTTTGATAGCTGAACTAGGTACGAAGGTATTGAACTCACAAGTTACAAAGGTAATGAATCAACCAAGAAAATTCATCACCAGCGCTTAGGACAGGGTTAGAGCAAGACGTCCACACACCACCAAGGTCGACGGTGAAATCTTGTGCACGTCTGCACTCCACGCCAGCCGCTGAAGTCTGAAATACTCTTCCCAAAATGTTTTATTTACTGAAGTAGTTGTTGTTCTTGAGGCTGTTAAGGGGCACTAAGTTTTACGCCTTATTGAGATCTGCCTTCCGGGAGTCCGGAAAAATATATTGCTCAAATTTAGACGGTTATAAGTGTCCTGGAATGGCCGGTTAATTTCCAAAACCCTCAACACCTTAGTTTCATTTGTTAAAAAAATTAATTTGGTGCTTCCCAATGCCGTGATGGCGGAGAGTGAAATTCAAGTGGGTAGGTGCAATTCTGACCAATTTATGTGTAAAATTAAGTGGAATTTTGATTCCTGTTGAATCAAAGCTTTCAAAATATATGCGTCTACCTTCCCTGAATGACTTCAGTATTCAGTGGTTGATGTCTCTTATGACCAGGATAGTATCCATTCAGCTTATGTGTGTACGTGTACACATACACACACATATGCATAAGTATATATCTGCACACATATACATACATACAAAAATTACATATATAAATACTCAAATACACATGGATACAGCCACACAAATACATACACTCATATACTGTGTTCATACGAAGGTTCACATAGGTACAGAAATTGATGTGCGCACACATACATACACATGTACACATATTTTTTTTAGATTCTAATGCACTGGCATTTTATGACCACGTTCCAATATTCCTTTTGCAGGCAGTGAGGTAGAGGAGGATGAGCTTATAGAAGACGGCAATACCACCTTTCTCGGATCGTGCAGCGATCGAAAGACATCAAATTGAATTTAATCTTTCTGGCAGGAAGGTGACTGTCTTCAGCACCAGGAGAGCATTACGAACCCAACAGGAGAAAAAAAATCGAGACAATTTGTTTATATCTGTTGTTAAAATGCATAGACATAAAAATTAAAGTATTGCAGAGTATATATATATATATATATATATATATATATATATATATATATATATATATATATATATATATATATATATTACATCTAGTCATTAGTAATATGTAAAATGGAAATCATCACTGTGGTGTCAATAAAACAATGTAAAATATTATGAGTGAATGGTTGGCTTGTTAAAATGATATACGTAGTTCATAGTTCATCATGCGTCCAACTTTTGCTCTAAAAAAATAAATGAAAAACTCGATATAATACCAAGTGAAGAAGACCTGGGTACCATACCTGGTTAACCTTTGATTACCGAGTGATAATGAGAATTTCTGATCTCCGTAATCTTGTATTTTTTGCACTACCGCATACAGGATGAGCTATGAGTTTACTGTAAACTATGTAGGTACTCAGACGAACAAATTAAAATAAAAGGAAGCTAGTGTGTCCCTGTCTGTCAGCCGTGGTCTGTCAGCCATGGTCTGTCAGCCATGGTCTGTCACCCGTGGTCTGTCAGCCGTGGTCTCTCATTAGTAGAACATACATCATTTGGCCCATACATTCACGTCCGTTACCGTAATACTATGGGATGGAACCGTTATCATTTAACTGATCTCAAGTCGCATCATCAGCTTGGCAAGAAATGCTTAATTTAGCCAAAGGTACTGATGATGTGTGACAGTTTCACTCTTTATATTGTTACTGTGGCGAAATACTTTTAACTGCGTTGTCGATAAGTGTTACTTGACTAATGGATGTCGCTTTCTAAGATTATAATGCCCAGGATGTGACGTCCAGTCCTGCAGGAAGTCATATCTTGGCCAAAATACCAATTTGTAAGAAACTCCAGACCTGCTGGAGGATTTCCACGTGATGAGTGCAAGCATCCAAAAAATGACGATAATTAAAAAAAATGGTGACTAAATAAAATTGTTATATTCTCTACAAAATTAAAAAAAAAATATCCAGGGGAATATTATTATGTCTTCCAAGTTATTTATCCTTCTCTTATTGTTAATTGTTATTAATTCTGTAACACTCATCTCACATTAGTACAAATGAGAGTTGAAGCTGAGGAATACAGTTGACCTGAGAGTTGGGTTCGAGTGACGTCCAGTAAGCAACTAGTACTGCAATTAAAACATTATTTCTGTAACACTTTTATTTGCAAATAAGTTTTGAAACGCAGCCCACTGCACACAAACACGAACACATACGACTTTTTTTTTATAGTGTGACTGAACAATGAACTGGGCACCGAAGATGATAGTACAACAACCATTGGACATTAACAGAATAATTATATGATCGATGGAACACGGGACACTAGTAGGCATTGCTTATGTAGCTGCGAGCACTGAAGACAGGACACCGCGAGCATAGCTCCAGTAGGTGCAAATAGGTAACTGGCACTGCTACCCAGGCACACTAAGGGTAATCAGATCTGAAGCTCCTCACACAGAATGAACCAGTGAATTTAGGGAAAGATACTCTTGGTTCTGAAATTGAAACTGATGTCAAAAGCTGAACTACAGCAGCTGGAAATATCTGTCGTCAGAACTTGTAGCAGGAGTCTGGAAGAAGAGGCAAGTGAATCATATATCTCCTCAGAGTTCCTGAAGAACGTATGCTTAGATCTCGAGATTCTTGAAGAAATTTTAGATCTCATGACGCTCCTGAAGAAAATATTCTTAGACCTCGAGGTTCTTGGAGAACAGATTTCTAGATCTCCTAGTGAATCCTGAAGAGATAAATGAATTTTAGATCTTCTAGGCGATCCCAAAGGATAGGCATCTCCACCTCCTATCTCCCCATGGATCATGAAGAACAGGCAAGTCCATCTTATATGTCCTCGGGGATCCTGAAGAACTCAGAGTTGGAGAGTTCGTAGAGGGTTCGCGCCTCCGAACAAGGAAAAGAGAGGTCCTTGTGGGAGCAAACAAGGGACTCCTGGTCGAAGACGGTCTCATTGCCACACGCGAAGGTAAAGTGCGCCGTCTCCACCAAGGCACCGATCTCATCAGCGACGGGGAAGCACACGTGGAAGAGCTCGCAGTTGTTGTCTACGTCGGCGTAGTAGCCGTAGGGTAAGTTGTCGCAGGAGAAGGTGGTCTGGATGGGAGACGATAAGTACTGTTCCACGTCCGCAGGTAACTGGTAGGGCATGCGAGCAGTGGCGACGGAGGCCAAGACGAGGACCGCGACCAGTGCTAAGCGGGACATGACTTCGGCTGACACTGCATGAGAAAGAGAAATTTCAAGTCTGTTTAGCACAGACGAGTACCACCCATCATCAACACACCTGACCTCTAACACTAACACAGTAACCTCTAACACCAACACAGTAACCTCTAACATTAACAAAGTAACTTCCAATAATAACACAGTAACCTCTAATACTAACACAGTAGCCCCTAACACTAACACAATAACATCTAACACTAACACAGTAACATCTAACACTAACACAATAACCTCTAACACTAACACAGTAACATCTAACACTAACACAGTAACATCTAACACTAACACAATAACCTCTAACACTAACACAATAATCTCTAACACTAACACAATAACCTCTAACACTAACACAATAACCTCTAACACTAACACAGTAACATCTAACACTAACACAATAACCTCTAACACTAACACAATAATCTCTAACACTAACACAATAACCTCTAACACTAACACAATAATCTCTAACACTAACACAATAACCTCTAACACTAACACAATAACCTCTAACACTAACACAGTAACATCTAACACTAACACAATAACCTCTAACACTAACACAATAACCTCTAACACTAACACAATAATCTCTAAACACTAACACAATAACCTCTAACACTAACACAGTAACATCTAACACTAACACAATAACCTCTAACACTAACACAGTAACATCTAACACTAACACAATAACATCTAACACTAACACAATAACCTCTAACACTAACACAATAACATCTAACACTAACACAATAACATCTAACACTAACACAATAACCTCTAACACTAACACAATAACATCTAACACTAACACAGTAACATCTAACACTAAACACAATAACCTCTAACACTAACACAATAACATCTAACACTAACACAATAACCTCTAACACTAACACAGTAACATCTAACACTAACACAGTAACATCTAACACTAACACAATAACCTCTAACACTAACACAATAACCTCTAACACTAACACAATAACCTCTAACACTAACACAGTAACATCTAACACTAACACAGTAACATCTAACACTAACACAATAACCTCTAACACTAACACAATAACCTCTAACACTAACACAATAACATCTAACACTAACACAGTAACATCTAACACTAACACAATAACCTCTAACACTAACACAGTAACATCTAACACTAACACAATAACCTCTAACACTAACACAATAACCTCTAACACTAACACAGTAACATCTAACACTAACACAGTAACATCTAACACTAACACAGTAACATCTAACACTAACACAATAACCTCTAACACTAACACAATAACATCTAACACTAACACAATAACCTCTAACACTGTCACTAGCACGTTAAGAGACCATACAATAAGTGTCAGGGGCCCGAGACTGTTCAACTGCCTCCCAGCACACATAAGGGGGATTACCAACAGACCCCTGGCAGTCTTCAAGCTGGCACTGGACAAGCACCTAAAGTCAGTTCCTGATCAGCCGGGCTGTGGCTCGTACGTTGGTTTGCGTGCAGCCAGCAGCAACAGCCTGGTTGATCAGGCGCTGATCCACCAGGAGGCCTGGTCACAGACCGGGCCGCGGGGGCGTTGACCCCCGAAACTCTCTCCAGGTAAACTCCAGGTAACACAGTAACATCTAACACTAACACAATAACCTCTAACACTAACACAATAACCTCTAACACTAACACAGTAACATCTAACACTAACACAATAACCTCTAACACTAACACAGTAACATCTAACACTAACACAGTAACATCTAACACTAACACAGTAACATCTAACACTAACACAATAACCTCTAACACTAACACAATAATCTCTAACACTAACACAATAACCTCTAACACTAACACAGTAACATCTAACACTAACACAGTAACATCTAACACTAACACAATAACATCTAACACTAACACAATAACATCTAACACTAACACAATAACCTCTAACACTAACACAATAACATCTAACACTAACACAATAACATCTAACACTAACACAGTAACATCTAACACTAACACAATAATCTCTAACACTAACACAATAACCTCTAACACTAACACAGTAACATCTAACACTAACACAGTAACATCTAACACTAACACAATAACATCTAACACTAACACAATAACCTCTAACACTAACACAATAACCTCTAACACTAACACAATAACCTCTAACACTAACACAATAACATCTAACACTAACACAATAACCTCTAACACTAACACAGTAACATCTAACACTAACACAGTAACATCTAACACTAACACAATAACCTCTAACACTAACACAATAATCTCTAACACTAACACAATAACATCTAACACTAACACAATAACATCTAACACTAACACAGTAACATCTAACACTAACACAATAACCTCTAACACTAACACAGTAACATCTAACACTAACACAGTAACATCTAACACTAACACAATAACCTCTAACACTAACACAATAATCTCTAACACTAACACAGTAACATCTAACACTAACACAATAACCTCTAACACTAACACAGTAACATCTAACACTAACACAGTAACATCTAACACTAACACAATAACCCCTAACACTAACACAGTAACATCTAACACTAACACAATAACCTCTAACACTAACACAGTAACATCTAACACTAACACAGTAACATCTAACACTAACACAATAACCTCTAACACTAACACAATAACCTCTAACACTAACACAGTAACATCTAACACTAAACACAATAACCTCTAACACTAACACAATAATCTCTAACACTAACACAATAACCTCTAACACTAACACAGTAACATCTAACACTAACACAGTAACATCTAACACTAACACAGTAACATCTAACACTAACACAGTAACATCTAACACTAACACAATAACCCCTAACACTAACACAGTAACATCTAACACTAACACAGTAACATCTAACACTAACACAATAACCCCTAACACTAACACAGTAACATCTAACACTAACACAGTAACATCTAACACTAACACAATAACCTCTAACACTAACACAATAACCTCTAACACTAACACAATAACCTCTAACACTAACACAATAACCTCTAACACTAACACAATAACCTCTAACACTAACACAGTAACATCTAACACTAACACAATAACCTCTAACACTAACACAATAACCTCTAACACTAACACACAATAACCCTAACACTAACACAATAATCTCTAACACTAACACAATAACCTCTAACACTAACACAATAACCCCTAACACTAACACAATAACCTCTAACACTAACACAGTAACATCTAACACTAACACAATAACCCTAACACTAACACAATAACCTCTAACACTAACACAGTAACATCTAACACTAACACAATAACCCCTAACACTAACACAATAATCTCTAACACTAACACAATAACCTCTAACACTAACACAATAACCCCTAACACTAACACAATAATCTCTAACACTAACACAATAACCTCTAACACTAACACAATAACCCCTAACACTAACACAATAACCTCTAACACTAACACAGTAACATCTAACACTAACACAATAATCTCTAACACTAACACAATAACCTCTAACACTAACACAATAACCCCTAACACTAACACAGTAACATCTAACACTAACACAATAACCTCTAACACTAACACAGTAACATCTAACACTAACACAATAATCTCTAACACTAACACAATAACCTCTAACACTAACACAATAACCCCTAACACTAACACAATAATCTCTAACACTAACACAATAACCTCTAACACTAACACAATAACCCCTAACACTAACACAATAACCTCTAACACTAACACAGTAACATCTAACACTAAACACAATAATCTCTAACACTAACACAATAACCTCTAACACTAACACAATAACCCCTAACACTAACACAGTAACATCTAACGCTAACACAATAACCTCTAACACTAACACAATAACCCCTAACACTAACACAGTAACATCTAACACTAACACAATAACCTCTAACACTAACACAATAACCCCTAACACTAACACAGTAACATCTAACACTAACACAATAACCTCTAACACTAACACAATAACCCCTAACACTAACACAGTAACATCTAACACTAACACAATAACCTCTAACACTAACACAGTAACATCTAACGCTAACACAATAACATCTAACACTAACACAATAACCCCTAACACTAAACACAGTAACATCTAACGCTAACACAATAACATCTAACACTAACACAATAACCTCTAACACTAACACAGTAACATCTAACGCTAACACAATAACATCTAACACTAACACAGTAACATCTAACGCTAACACAATAACATCTAACACTAACACAGTAACTTCTAACACTAACACAGTAACCTTTAACACAATAAACCTCTAACACTAACACAATAAATTCTAACACTAAACGCAATAAATTCTAACACTAACACAATAAATTCTAACACTAGCACAATAATTCTAACACTAAGACAGTAACTTCTAACACTAACACAGTAACTTCTAACACTAACACAATAAATTCTAACACTAACACAATAAATTCTAACACTAACACAATAAATTCTAACACTAACACAATAAATTCTAACACTAACACAGTAACTTCTAACACTAACACAATAAATTCTAACACTAACACAATAAATTCTAACACTAACACAATAAATTCTAACACTAACACAGTAACTTCTAACACTAATACAGTAACTTCTAACACTAACACAGTAACTTCTAACACCAACACAATAACCTGTAACACTAACACAGTAACTTCTAACACTAACACAGTAACTTATAACACTAACACAGTAACTTCTAACACCAACACAATAACCTGTAACACTAACACAGTAACTTCTAACACTAACACAGTAACTTCTAACACTAACAAAGTAACTTCTAACACTAACACAGTAACTTCTAACACCAACACAATAACCTGTAACACTAACACAG